ATAAGGATGCCAACATTAATTCTATATGAATTAGTTATGAGGAATATTTGATTGTAGATGTGAGTTTTTAAAAGTTTGTACAAAAGTGACAAATTTAAATTTCTTTTGCAATCCTTTCAGATACTATTTATGTAAAAAATGAAATAACTGGAAACACAAAAGCACACCAATTCATACGAAAACTTTTTAGATGTAAAATCCTCTAAAAACTTTCCAGAAAACAAAGAAGATGAAAGAAGATAAAAATCCATAAGTTGGGAAATATTTTCCTTAGATAAGTAACGCTTCCGAATGCATCGCATAATTGGCGTATTTTATATTCATAACATCAAATTTTTATTATGTTTTTTTCTTTTGAAGCTGTAATGGGACTGAAGCAACTCTTAAACATTGATTCAACTATAGCATTCAATCTAAAAAAAAAAAACAAATACTGGAAGAATCATTCCGCCAGTCTTAATATTATCATCACTATCTCTGCAAAACACTGCTCTTCAAAAATATGTAGAAGATTTGTTTGACAAGTTTTGCTTCGTTCGGAATTTTGTTATAATAGAAATGTCATTTAAATTAGGAATTTTTGAAATGTTCACTTATGTTTTTTATAAATCTCTCATCTTTTACATATTTTTTCTCATTCATCCTCTAAAAATTGAAGATCTATCCTTACTTACGTTTATGCTTGGTGATTTCACTCTACATCTATTTGCTCTAAAGTTCATAGGTAAACAATTTTCACAATAGTTTAAATTATGCAAATGTCACTTTCAGACAAATGTTTTCTGAAACTTCACTTTGCATTTTATTTGAGACTAAAATTTTTGGAAACAATTTCTGCTTTTATGAAATTATAGTTCAAATATAGAAAATACCAAACATTTTCACATATAGTTTATAATATCTATAGCAGTATTTCAAAATTTGCCTAGAAAAGAAATCAATTAATGTTCTAGGGATAATCGTTTGGTTATTGTTACTAGTAGACACTGGAAAATGAAATCTATAAAAATAACTAACTGAAACATTTATGTATAAAGAGGACTGCTGCTTTCTAGATCGCTTTACCTGATAACATAAAACATAAATTTTTCACAAGCAAGTATTCAGTTGAAAGATGGCATTGATATTTTATATTAAAAGCTCAATCGTATTACTACTTATCGAATAAGCAATGCAAAAGTTGGTAGCCCAGCATAATTTATGTTGAGATAGGTTTTGAAAATGCTCCAATTTATTCAAATACCATTTGAATATATTGAGTCTTAAATTTGGTGATTAAGAACGAACTTTCTTATATTTCTGTTATCAAATTTCTGTAATACCAGCCTTCTTCAAAATAAATCGATTCGATGTAAAAAAATGATATCTTAAATATGATAAACTTGAAAATTTTTAAATTCTGAAAGTTCTCGAGAATACAAAACTCTACATCAATAAAGCATATTTCAATGGAGCAGTTCTCTTTATTAATAGCTGTTGACGTCATTCTCACTGTTAACACCACTGTCACAAACTTCGAAGATGAGATTATTATATTCGTTTTTGATGAGAAATAGCTTCACCGAGTGCTCTCTTAATGCTCTATTTGCATCTCTGTTCGTCTTTCAAATACCAATTTTTTTTAGCTCATAATTTCTAATCTATCGTTATATATGAACAATACATCCATAGATCAGGAGGAAGTGGCTAGGAATGATTAGAACAGGAGAGCTACTTTTCAAACAAATTCATTTTCATATGTACATCCATTCCGGTAGAGGCAATAAAGCAGCTCTTTATTTAAATGATCAACAGAAGCACAAGTTGATGTTCAATTCTTCTATCAGTGTACATCTGCAATTTCAGTAGTTTTTTATCATTAATTAGTGTTACAAAAGTAGTTTCATCTAATATAATCTTTTAATAATTGTTTCTTGGCAATAGTTAAGCTAATAAGTTACTGATATCCGACAGCACGATAGCTGATTCTATAAATTATCGTTACAAATTAATGGGACGACTATTCCCCCCATTCCAAAAAAAAAACTCTTGATTGTTGGCTTGTTACCCATCATGCCATAATGATTCCTTAACAAGAATTATGCTGTACAAAGTACTAATTCATTGATTGTGAATAAGTTCTACAGAAATGCATCTTACTTTTTTACTTCATTTTACTTGAAAAGTTAAAAAAAAAACCTTAATCGAGAAATGAGAGAAAATTAAACGAGTAATAAAATGAGAAGCTCAATGTGAATAGTAATAGTTGAACTTATCAGTTCATGAGAATTAGACAAGAACTAGTACGAATTTTGAATTTCGATTTTGTAACACTTCTTTGATATAGAACTGTGAATTTATTCGCAATATTATAAAAATGAGCTCCTACTGATTCTTTAAGAGTAGGTAGCGAGAAATATTTCAATATTCAAAGATCTTAATGAAATATTTCAATATTCAAAGACAAAGACAATGGCATTCAACAAAATGGTGTTCAACTAAAATCCGAACGATTTGATAACTGACTAATAAAGTCAAATGATATTGCCAACTGGTTAGTTTTTGACAATTTAAGCAAAATTTAAACTGTTCAATCTTGGAAAATAAAGCGATAATATTTTGCACGTACTTAAGAGGAAAGAACATTCGGTAGAAGAGTTAATGAATTAATATTGTGAACGCAAAATGAACTTAGTACTAGCAGTCTTTGACTAGCCGAAATGTTTATTCAAATCAAGTCCTCTAAAAGTAATCAAAAATCAATATGTTAAGGTTATAAAAATAATGAACTAAAAAAATGACTAACTATCTCTAATAATCAATAATGACTAATCCCAGTATCGACTTTCCCGGCAAAACCGGACTTTCAGTATGACAGGAAGCATCATACACATACACTTCAATACACCAACTCTCACATTTACTAATAAATGTAACCAAAAAGGAGAACTTTTTTAGTTTCAGAGATTTCATTGGAGATGTTTTTTTCTTCGATAATAGACCAAAAAGACTTGATATATACATTCGCTCAATAAAATAGAGAATTCTGTTAAAGGGGAATACTAAGATATCTCAGGCTGTATGTTGTAGACCTTGAAATAAGCCAAAAGATATTGAATGATACCGTTTCATACAGACAATTCGAGAAAAAAAAAGAGAAAAAAACTTATAAATGTTATTGATCATTAGAGACAATTACTCATTTTTTTATATAATTGCAAATGAGCTTTAAAGGAACAAAGAGTTTATCGTAAAGGGGACGCCGCACAAGGCGTACTAGATATGCAACAAAGAAAGGTAGGAAAAAGAGATACATAATTAGTTTTGGCATTGACCATGATTACTAAGATTATGTTGAAGACTTGCTTCCGATAAATGAAACAGAGAATCTTCTCAGATATGTCCGTGATTATTGTTATATCTGCCATCCAGATCCCTTTCTTCAACCGTGCTTATTCCAAATTAATCGAGTGACAAAGACATACAAGCCTACCATGGAAAATTTAACGATCCTTAAATTTCCTGTTTATGAAAGCTGCTAGAATATAACACAATTCAACACTTACATTGCAAACCATCGCTAAGACGAAAAAACGAGTACCGAGAATTTTATTGTGTTACTACTAGTTTCTATGATATAAAATGCCTCAATAATGAATACAATAATGATAGTAATGGAAAACTGAATAAACTGACTGAATATAGTTATTACAACTAAAAATCATGAATAAGTTAATCCAAGATTTACCATACAAATCATAACGCGGTCTCGTGACTTCATCTTTAGCCATGCCTCAGAAAGCGTCTGAGACCACTACTACCATACTATGAGAAATATCCCATGTAAAGCGAGAAAACAATTCTTTTAAGTAAATTCAAGTAAGTTTTAAGTAAGTGAAAACAGATAAAAACCATAAGACATTAGAAAAATGATGATAAGTGATGACATTAAAGACAAGTATTCGATAAGTAAAGACGAATGAAACAACATGCATGTCTCCTTTCGAAATATGGTTCTATTATTTAAATTTGAACCAAAGCTTAATAAAACTAAACCGAAACCAAATCTGCTTTGATCAACGAAATTGATCGAGTTTTCAATCTCCAATGAAACTGCAAGACGACTGCAAAATGTCGACCATCATTACCTTAAAGTAATTAACGGATATAATAAAACGAAGTTTTTTAAAAATCACTGCAAAGCATGGCTGAATCCTTGTAATCTAATACATAAAAAAATTGATTGCAACAATGATCGCTCTTAAAAAGTAAGGAAGAGAAAAAGATATGTACAACGACATAAAAACAGTACTGCTTTTCGAATTTATTAAAATAAGATTTCTCGATAATAAAAAATCATCTATTGAAACAAAAAATTGTGCGAAAGGTTTCTGACAGAAAGTTACAAGAAGCATTGGGTCTGAGGATCTAAAACCCATAGGTTATTTTTTAACACCACATATAACATTGAAAGATAAAAGGACTTTACTACATATACTGTTTTCACTTTTAGTGACATGAATGCTAATAACTTTTCATTCATAGCAGCAGATTTGAAGCTGTGACTTTAAAAAAGATTTTATAAAAAAAAATTGTCAGAATATCTAATACTTTCTGATACTCGAAGACAAGGAACATATGTCTTCGTAAAGTTAAATACTTTTACATGAATTTCTCAGCAATTCTTTTGAAATAAACAAATTGCATAAAAAAACTATTCAAAATTAAAAATGTTCCAAAAACATTTTACAGTACTGCTTAAAAAGCGTATGTGCACAATTAATCCTTTTACATACAGATTAAACCTAGAAATGAATGTCGTAAGCTTTGTAAGGCTGAAAATTTTCATGGAATGGGTGAATTATTTTTAAGAATGCACACACCGCAAAAACATTTAATACTCTAAAGCTTGACAAAAACGTAACTGAAAATATGGAAAACACAAAAAAATAGCTGTTGCATTCTACGGAAATGTTCAGGATGAAATTAACTCTGTATTTTCGGAGTTTGACAAATACTTGTCACACTGTATCATCTGAAATGTAAGAAAATAAGTGAATTTAAGAAACAGGATTTAAGAAAATTCAATTACCATTGAAGAGTTAACACTAATGTAGGAGAGAACTTATTTCAAAGCTTTCGGTAAATCAGAAAGAAAATTTTATATATTGTGAGTGCCAATGATCGATCATCTCAAAGTAACCAACAAAAACAATAAAATAAAATTTTTTAAAAAACTGAAAGTGTATCTGAATTTTTACCACTTATTATATAAAGAATTTAATTACAACAATCAAAATAAAAAGATATGAACATATTCGCGTAAATGTACTGCTTTTAACACCTAGTGAGGCAAGAAAATCGGTGAAATAATTACAATTAAAAAAATTACCGTGAAACCACCACCGGGTATTATTTGGGCTTTTACTACAAGTACGCACATAGACAGCATTGTCCGGTGGTCGTTTTTTCTCTTTGCATGAAGAAAGCATGGATAAAACAGAGAGACAAATAGCCTGCACAGAAAGCGCAGGAGTCCAGTCGTCACTCAAGATCGACAAACAAATGTGACCATTCGAATATACATGCGGATGAATAGGGATATTATCACCAATGAAAATAACCTCTGGTGAAGAAAAAGGATATTCATCCGGAAAACGGAACTGAAAAAAAAAAAAAGAAAAATGATGAAAACTATGACTAAAACGTAACCTGTGCAACAGTTTAATTAAAAATACTGACCGTTACATTTGTGATTTTATCTTAATGTACTGAAATGCGAAACAATGTTTCACACCTCAGACTCTAATCGTGTTACTAAACAGTGAATAAAATCTCCTATGAATTTTTTCGATTAAATCTTTTCCAAAAAAAACGGAAGCTGATTGCAGGTTAATACTGCCATTGTTAACTTAAGAAAAAGAAAATTACTCTGAGCGTAAACTGTTCTCCAGCGTAAAGTGTATTAGGAGCACCGTCAACATGAACCGTCCAAAGTCGCAAATCTTGTGTTGATTCATCCTTGACGTGGACACCAGCTGGTGGTTCAAGTGTGAGCTGTTGGTATTCTTTCGTCAAACGTTTTTGACATGATGAGTCCATCCCCAAAACTTGCCTGTAAAAGTTAGTGTGAAAGATTGTTAAGTATAATAACTTATACAACATACAAAAAAAAAAAAAGATCTTAAAACAGATATTTATTCATTGACTGGTATAATTCGTTCTGGTCTTGATAAATAACATAGCTGGAAGTGTCAGAAATTAATTCTTATGTGATACAGTATGACCAAGTGCACTTCAGTAATTCGTGGTCCTCAATTGAGAGAGTACCAACAATTCGAACGAAGCCCAATAAAATCAAATTATTAAGCAAATAGATCGACTGCTGGAACGAATCAAGTTAAGAAGACAAAATCTAATATAAGAATAGTGAATGCGGAGGAACTGCATAAACAAACTCATCTTGATGTGTTAATGATGACATTCCGGAACGTCTCTTTTTGAAACAATAATCTAAACAAATTGTAACCCACTAAAATAAAATAAAAGGATTCAAAATAATTCGAGAAAATAAAGAACAGTTCGTCCCACAAAACATAACCACAGTCTTTTCATGTGAAGTTCTTACTTTCCAATCAGCACAACCAAATCCTCTCTTTTAAGTACCCAACGATAAACTTAATCAAGGAACAAATCGATTGGAATGAATTCAGTTGAAACGATAATGACTGGAAGAAGCACTGTCAGTTGACAAAAATTCAAGAAAGCGACTCAAATGTCTTATCACTGCTACAAAAATCGGTGCTGCAAAAAGCGAAAGACAAAAGCAATCTCTCTCGGTATTTCTCGACTCACTCCATATGGCATCTTCTTCACTCCGTACATCATTAAAGAGCTATCATTGCTTATGCTGATTCATTTCGAGTGATAATCTACCAACACCACCGCTATTTCATCATCACCACAACTCATTTTTTAAACTCCCAACCAGTACCGCAATTGCTGATTCATTCTTCACTCTTATGACCACGTTTTTTCGTGATTTAGATTTGATGGCCCAGTCCCGAGAAATCTTACTAGGGTATGACAGGGTAAGGGTTATCTGTGAGGATGGGGTTGTTTGTACATTTTCAAATTTTTCAAAAATCCAATCATTTTGGGTATCACTATCATCATGAATGTGTGGCATTCTAAAAACTGAACAGTAGCGTGATATATGTGAAACACTGCTGGTAAAGTGCTGTTTATAGCTGCAACGTCAGCTTGAATTCGTTAAATAATCCCATCAGTCGCTAGAGTTTGAATTCTATGGCGCTTGAGTTTGTTGTATTATATTTGTCATTTTTTTTTGTCATTTATATATTGTCAGTTTTCATTATATTTATACTGTCTTCAGCTTATATTGTATCAATTAAGCTATCAAATTCGACTAATGTAGAAGCAAGGAGTATTTTGGTTAAACCATGGATGAGACTTCTGCAGCTTGTGAAGGTATTTTACTTTTCGTCACGAATTAGAACAGTTCCTGGAATTTGATGAAACGAGAGGATTTGAAATTTTCTTTGATGCCCAGAAGATGACAACAAGCAGTTTGTTAGGTGTTCGATATTTTAGCTTTACCTTGACTAGATATCAAAACTTCATTTGTTTTTATAAAGTCTACTGCAGACTTGCGTTACTTTGAAAGGCGCCTGACAGAAGTGATTCAAAGTATGCAACCAGCTGCAACAAGATGGCGATGTAAGTTGTTTGATGATTATTTTCATTATAACATATGCTTTACAGTTCGCATTTTGTTGCGAACAAAAAAATTAAAAGATCACCTGAGCGTTGTTAACCAATGCAATATGTTGTTTGTAGGCTTGTTAAGAAGGGCATTAGATCATTACATTTAAACCATTAGAAGGACTGCTGGTGATTTCGTCCCCCCATTATAAAGCGTACGTTGCACTGTAGTCTTCGTGAAATATTTCGTTTGCTGTCAAGCTATGCAGTTATTGCCACGAATAAGTTTTACGGCATGAATAATCCAATATGGCTTTAAAATGTATTTCTGAAAATTCGTATTAGACTGAATTATTTTACTAACTCTTGAATTTAATCTGTGTTTGATATGCAAGCAATAAAAACTTGAGCCCAGATTTTAAACTGGATAGTAAATGTAATAATATTTTTAAATGTAATAGTGTTTTTCCTTCATCGTTTGTCCATGTTATCTTGGTTTCTTTTTCTTGATTTTTTCTTTTTTCTCTTCTATTTTCCTTATTTAATCAAATGCCTCATTCATTTTTAAGAGCTTCAATTAGTATTATTATTAAAACATTCTATGTCCAATAGGCAGTAAAGATTTTATATTCTACTACGGGTCGATAGTTCTAGAATTTTTCTTGATTAAGTATGTACATTTCAGTGGTGTTACTAATTGCATTTGGATGCACATTGTGGAGCGCCTACTTCTGGCTGAAGGATCCCTCTATACGTACTGTGCGTGTTACTGGCATCTTTTAAATTCATAGTGATTTTCTGTTTTATCTTATGCATTTATTTTTAAGGTTTGATTTGTAAATTCCAAAATTTTCTAGGTAACTTTGGTTGAATCACTGCAAAATCATCTTGTCTTTTCGGCTTGTGTGCCTTCACTGTTATTTCTCTTTGGCTTTATCGGAATACATAACCGTGCTGTTGCACCAAGCATGTAAGTTGGTTTATATTATTTATGTGTGAACTCTATGTTTTTGAACAGTCTGTATTTTGCATACTTGCGTGACATATTTTGTTTATCACATATCCTGTAGTTATCAGAAGAGATGTTTCTCATTGTTGTAGACTGCCGCAGCGCAGCGTGGATCATGTTGGAATCAAACTAGAGTAATGGGACAATCATATGGTACAGGTTATGTGAGTCACGTTCAAATAACGTGTAAATATTCAGTTTATTCCCAAATAGTTGTAAATACTCATCTGAAATCACTTTCCTGCTTATGAAACATTCTGTCCTGAATGACTGAACAAGTATGACAGTTTTTGGTTCCAAACATGTTGGTTCTGTGTTATTATTGCACTTTCTTCAGTGTTTTAGTTTTTTCAACGGATTTTTTTGCTATAAAATCTGTTAATGCGGATAATTCTAATCTTTTGCAAGTTCTTTCGAATTCTTGTATTTGATATCTCAACTTTATTCCCTAATAAAACATTTTTACATGCTATTCTACAGAATTCGCTACAGAAACTTTATTGGTGTTAAATTATTGAATATAATTTAAGTACACTCATTAGTAAGAGAATTTCTAATATATTGCTCAAATTTTCCTTTACACATAGATATCTTATGGAAACAAAAAAGTAACTTTTATTGTACACGACACTTAACCACACTTCAGTTATAAGTTTTATTTTTATTTCCATCTTTTAATAAAGTTCTTTCTTTATAATTTTTCTATTCCACTAACCAAACATCTTATTTCAAAGCAATGACTTGAGAAAATTTGATATATTCTAGATTATATATTTTATTTCTTTGAAGTGTGCTTACGCATATTTTACTGTTCATATTGAGATAGTTTTTTAATCCATTTCGACGAAGCATGACATATATGTGGATGAAAACATCTGAATCTTGTGCAGTGTAATTATAAATATTTGGATTATTAGTTGGATTTTGATCAATGTCACTCATCGGTCATGTATTGATACTCATAAGTTTTACTGCTACATATTATTGCTATATTTATTTCAGCATTGCTTCACGGTGTCGAACGGTGTTGGCAGACTTCAGTCTTAGCTGTGATGATGTTAGTTTTCGCTTAGATAGATTTCATTTTTCTTTATTCAGCTTCATAATTATGTAGATTTCTCTTTTAATATGAATGTTTCGTGACAGTAAGTGATTTTTTTTTTTGTTTTAGAACAGAGAAGCAAATTATATTCCAGTATATGGATATGTTGTTTTAAACAAACAGCAGTTCGACTTTATCTTTTTGATATTGCTAAAATTTCTCATAATAATAATAATAATAAATAATGTGATTGTCGCAAATCTTTTTAGTAAAAAATGAAGTAAATATATTCTAACATAGTAAGTTCTCTATTGTTATCTTTATATGCATGGGTTTGCTAGTTCCGCTGTAAGAATTTATAGAAACTAGTTGTTCTTTCAGAGTGGGAAACTGATTGTGAGGCCGCCACATCGGGTGCATGTGTCGCCATGATTACACATATTTCACTGTTTTGAAGTTGTGGATGTGAATTTCCTGACTTCAAGATGTGAATTTTCACGGATTTGAAATTGTGAATTTAAAGGTTTTGTTTTAACTTACTGTTGTTCTTATTTCTTTAGCAAACAATTTGACCGTTAAATTTTTGTGAGTTAAGGAAAGAGATTTGGTCTCATGTATCTCTCATCGTTTTAGACGAATATGGCATTTCCTTCCTTTCTGTTATGCTGTTTTAACGCTGTAATTTGTTCTTTTATCCTGATTATTTATTTAGAATTAAAATTTCTGAAGAATTTCAATAAAAACGGTTGCTTCGTTGATAATGGTCCTTTTTGTTTTTACTTCGATTATGGTTTTCTCATTTTCATTTTGAATTTACATGATATTATGCTTCAATTTTTGATATACATAGCATTTGGGAATAAGATTCTAGGGACTTTCTGAGATCAACTGCGAAGTGTGCCATGACCATTCTTCATTATTCAGTTCAAGTTTATATGCAGCTTTATTTGGTAAGAATCGAGAAGTTGATCTTGACATAGATTTCTTTTTTATGTGGTATCACTTTGATTTGAGAAAAAAACTTATGTAACTTTCTCACTTATGAAAGTTGATGGGAATCAATAAAATTAATAAGTGTTTTGTTGCTGGAAACATTAAATTAGCCCTCAAGAGCTATATTTTTCTGTGGCACACTGTTTTGTTATATATATGCTTTTTGACGGTGATTTGTTGACAACTTAGTTGCATTGATGTGCTTTTTATCTGTCCACAAGTCATGAAAGTGTTTTGGTTTCTCAAACAAAGTGAAATAAACTGTTGTGTTGCCATAATGTTATTCACGAGAAGTGCATTTTTCTGTGTCACTTTATTGCCCCAGTTGCATAATTTATTGCACTTTTCTATTTGAGAATTTTAAATTTTCGCTTGAATTTTTTTATCGACTTCATTATTCGTCATTCAGAGAGTTTTGACGACCAACAATTTTGAGCTTCCAAAAGCTTTTTTCGAGAATTTAAATAGTATTCTGTTCAATAGCTTATAATTCTTCATACGAATTCAAGATTCCAAAGTCATTCTTGAAAAAGATAAGTAGCATTGAGGATAAAGTTAGATATCTGATAGATGGTGGGACACTAAGTGATGATTTTTCCTTTCCTGTGTTTTATTTACTTCATTTGCTTCGCATCTTATTTCTTACCGATGATATGTTTTAAATGCAATTACTAGTTCCGAAATATTCTGATTAACTTTCTGGTCCAAATATCCTGCGCCAGAACGGAAGTTCAAAGGATGCATTGAGATGCGTGACTAGATATTCTGCTAATCTTAAAGTATTTGACAATGATGACTATTGCTATTCAGAAAAAGTATGTTCTTTTCGACTTCCATGATAAATTATCATAAAAGAAAATACAACTTGTCAGTAACATAATATGTTTTTCCGTTAAGCTCTTAGAAAGGACCTTTCTTAATTGGATAATTACCTAGTAGCCAAAGTAATAAATAGCTGACAATGAGTAATATACCATATGTACAGCATGTTTAATTTGAATGTCTTTTAATTGATGTAATGATTATGGAATTTATGGGTGAATTTCACTCCTCTAATGGGAAATGATTGCAGCGTTCGAAAAATAGATATTAAACTTTTCGAGCAATAATTAGAAGTTAATGTAAGCAGTGCGGAAATGTAAAAGTACTACCGTTATCTCAGAAATCTTAATGTGATAGTCTAATCTATTAGCAAATCTAGATCGGAAACATTCCACTCACTTCAGTTAATTTCTACTTCTACTTATATCTTCTCCGTCCAATTTATGTACTGCTTATTCTATTAAACGGGCAATAACGATAATGAAATGTGTTTAATTTCAGTTTGTTTGAATCACGTGATCTGTAAGAGATGCTTTAGGATTACTGTTGGCATCTTCTTGCAGAACTTTCAAAAACCTGAAATCGGTGAATATTTCTAGTTCAGTGCTTTTCCCATTGAAGATATGATGCTTAAAGTTACTATCTTGGTTCAAATTTTCAGGTACATATTTCACTTTCCCATTCCTTCTGCTCATTTTTGGATTGCTATTAGTCTTTCACAGTTCACTGTTACCATGCATTGATGCTTATTACTTATAATCCACTGCTTCAAAAGATGTCCATGTGAGGAATAAACAGGACCTTAAAAATAAAGTGATTCTACTATAGCTGATATAAAAAAATTACTCTATTAACCTTCTTAAAAATTTTTGTTAATATTTTATGGAAACAATTCTGAGGTAGTATGAGCTTTTTATTGGATCGATTTGCTAGAAGAGTATAAATGAAAAATTACATTGAAAAATTAGAGGGGTATAAATGAACTATATCAAATAGAAGGCATAGTTTGATAGTGCATCTCAAGAAAAAGATATTGTTTCTCTTTTTATTCAATGTTAATGATTTGAAAAGTATCGTTAGGTATGTAAAATTTTCAAGTAATTTTATTATCGTGCAGAAATGTATTTGACTCTTTTGATATATATATCGGCTAAATTGGAAACATTATTAATTATTTCTTCACTTACCACAAACGGATACACAAATGTCATGTTCGGGATATTTTTTAGAAAATATTTTTCCATGATCAGTTTGGTTCTGTTTTGTAAACCGTTTCACACATATCGATATATTAACAAACCAATGTTTTCAATGTTTTATGAAGTTACAGAAGGAAGAGTAAAGGAAATGATGACTTTGCGATTGAATTAATTTACTGATTGTTTTTGTATGCTTTATGTCAACTGAGCCTCTCCAAATCAACGTCCTTCCTTTCCCAATTGATTTTACTGAAAATCTGATCAATATACATAAACAAGTACTTCCAATTACGATATTTCTTAACAGTTTGAAATATGTTAAAATTAGACTGTAGCAAGAGGGAAAAGAAAATAATAGTGAGGAATAAGATATTACTATGTTCTAACGTTTCAAAGGATCAGACGGGAATCTAGTTTCTGTTATTTATCACTATGAAAAATATGAAAATCGTTATACCATCAACCATATGTTTCATATCTGAATGATTTCCTTCGTTTTCCTGCTTTTTTTTTACTTTTGATATTTGAAAAAGAATAGAATTTCAGGGACAAGATGTGAGTAAAGTGACAGAAATTTAAAATTATGGGATTTTTGGTGCAGGTACCAATAATTGCTTTGTTTGTTGATCATTGAATTCTATGGCATGGAGTAGTCCATATCCTTGATACTACAGAACTTCAAAGACAGTGATTTTTCATCAATATAGAGCGACAGTTCAGCGAACTATCTCCACTGTCATTTAGCTGTGATAGTCTTTCCACTGAAAAGCAGAAAATGTTCGTCATTGAAAAGTTTGTTTTCACTTTTTTTTTCTTTTTCATTTTGCTGGTATGAATCATTTAGTGCATAGTTATATAACAGCAGTGGGAAGTACTTGTCAAATATTGAGATCTGTTCTATATTTGGTCACCTGCAATAACAAGCTAATACTAGAATTCCGATTAATGCAGGTAAGGACCTCCCTTTAACTTTCTATACTTACATTGTCAAACTTTCTTGAAACTCCACTATTCCTTCACTGTCAATGAAACTGTACTATTAACCTGTTTATTGGTATTTACTTGTTTATGTGCAATCTATTTGCCGATTTAATTCATCTTCTGTTAATTTAGATGATTTTTTTTAAGTCTTATTTATTATTCTGCTTTTCATTGTTCTTCCTTATTAATCTTTTCCATTGTTTAAATTATTAATCTTTTAAATCATACAGGTCAGGTATGGATCTTGTTCCGCTGGAGAAACTGTTTTTCATATCTTTGACCGTTCTCACTAAGGGTTTTATAATATTTGGCGGTTCATTAGCATACGTATTCCAATACAAAGAAATTTATGAACGAGAAGATGCCAGTGGATTTTCACTGTTTGTCTGCTTGACGTTGCTCATAGCGAATATACTTCGAATTATGTTTTGGTTAGTAAGAATCGGATTTTTTGATTTTATTTTTCATGCTTTCAATCATTTAATTAAGTTCCTGGACCATCACGATGTTAGCAGTGTTAACTGACCCAGAAAAAATATTTCCTGACATCAATATATCAATATATTTATTATTTGCTATCTTTGTCTTCTTTTTCAGGTTTGGTAAGCGGTTTGAATTAGCTCTTGTTGCTCAAAGCATAGTAATGTTAGTATCAATGATATTAATGTTGGAAATATCGGTGCGAACAAATCGAAAGCATATATATAAAACGCAACGTGTCTCTGCCTGGAGTATTTTTATAATTTTATTAGTTCAATAATATGATGCTTTTTCAGTTGATTTCTAATATCGTAGAATTTGTTTTAATTTCTCTCAAACTGGAGTTTCCCATTTAATTTAAAAAACATAGTCTTTTCACTTCTTTTTTCTTCTTTTTTCGTCTGCTTTGTATTCATGTTTTTGTTTGAACAGTCTTTTCATCACTTCTTTTTTATATCATTTAAAAAAAAAAAACTTTTTTCAAAAAAAATTAATTTACCTTTATTTTTCTGAAAGTTTTGATGACAAAGATTTAGCTTAAAAAAGCAAGTATTTTTTTTTTAGCTGGTCAATTGATAAGCCATTTTTGGCAGTGGAATGATCTCTCCAGTTATTTCACTCTAATAATTGCTTTCACTGTATTTTCGTCTATACTTACGTACTTACTGAGCGGGGTACTTTCATACCTGTTATCAACAAATAAAGAAATAAGAGACAAAAATTTACTAAAAAACAGGATTGCGGTACTGTCTCGATCTTATTTCTGTATTTTTGTCAAAATCTGAAATTGTTTGTGCATTTTTGCAGTATATGGTATATGTGGAAGTTCTTGGTCTAATTGCTTTACTTTCCGAAGCATGTCTGGGTTTCCCTCAGCTAAAGCAGAATTGCTCAAGGCGCTCTACATCGGGAATGAGGTTCAGCTAAAAATGATCTTGTATTTATGACCTGTCTAATAGGAACGAGCTAACAAATTTGTGCAACTATTCTATCACGTATTGATCCACGAATAAATAAAAGGCTGTTTTCTTTTAAATTACGATGTGATGAAAAAGTCGTTTCTGTCAAAATTCATTTAATACATTCAAGATATTTAGTATTGGCATGGTACTTGTGTGGATGATTGGAGATTGCGGTAAAACAGTTTATTTTATCTATGAAAGTAGTCCAGCACAATTTTGGTTGTGTGGAATAATACAAGTTAGTTTTGAATTCTTTTTACATATTTTTGAAAATCTCAATTAAGTTCATCTGTCGAAACTTGAAAAGAAAACACAAGATTCGTATGCTTAGTATGTTTACTTTCTATTCAAGTTACAGTGATCATTTTATGCTTTTTAATGTGTAATTATAAAATGGACCTGCTTTACTTGGTTCTGGGACTTGCTCGATCATGGATAGGATTTACATAATGGACGTGTTTTTGAGATGATTTTGTTTCAGGGTATTTTGACGTTTAATTCTTATTGCTAGGTTTTTTTTTTTTCTACAGCTTAACAGTTTTCAGATCACAATCGATTTATTAATAATGCTTCAAGTCTATTGTTTTGGTAAGAGAGCAGCAAAAAGTCGGGTACAATTGCCACAGATTGATGATTGAGGTTAGTGTTGTCACAGAATGAGATTAAGTTATGCAGATATTAGATTTTCATTATGTCACTTTCCGGATTGCCGACTTTCTGGTAGAAAAAACAACATCGACTTGTCAAAATGATGTTTTTCATGCTAGTAGGCGCTGTTATATTTGTTTTCTCTACAGTTCTTTTTTTCTAACTACTTTTTTACAAGTAATTTCTTAAAGATGCTTTATTTGTCGCAATCTTCATCACTTTTCATTATCCTCATTACTCGCAACAATCAAAAATTAATGTTATATGCATCAAGCATATCAACGCAATTTTTGTTCCAGAACAGCAAGGCCAACATTGTATCTCGTTTGTTAGCAGAGACTTATTTTGGGTTTTGCTTCTGAAAAAAAATATCAAACTAACTTTTAATAATAACATTGCACCATGCTTATTGAAAATTAAATTCATAATTTTTAACTTTATGAGATATGAGGAAAGATGCAATAAAATTAGCATTATTTAGTTCTTCATTACTTTGATATTGCAATTGAGGATTATCTTACAGCATCATCCATGCATGTAACTTTTTATACATACCGTTGTTGTTGTTCACATGCTTATGTATTATTTATGATTCACACTGATACCTGTTTAACAAAGAAATGTAAGATGAAGTACCTATATATATTCTTGTTCTCACCTGTAATATATTTGTTTCCTCGTGATCAGTTCAACTCCTAGTTCTCAGCTGAGTTTCAATAATTTTATCCACCATTTTGAAAACCAGAAATTTCATGAAATTTTTTTTTGAAGATCTTATAATTCAAAGATCGGTAAAACAAGTGGGTGTTAATTCTGAGAGCCTAGCTCAGAAAATTTTTCTATTACAGCTACAACGACTGGATGGAATTGAGAAGGAAGGTCTGGTATCAATAAACTATTAACATTGGTAAACAGCCCATGTACTTTTGAAGATAATCCACAAATAATGTGAGGATTTATTCCAATGAAGTCTTTGATTTCTAGCTGACTATTATTTCATTTTTAGGAATCATGGAGATAAATGCTGTTATTGTCATAATCACGATGTTGGACTTATTGTGATTTCTGCACCTATTGTTAATACCTCCACTTGCATTATGTTTCGGAGATATTTTGATAATGTATGAAGGCTATGAAAGCTTTGACATAGGAACACTACGTCACAGATTAACTGATTTGGGCTTCATTTTATCTCATTATTAATTCCTTAACATTTGAAATATGAATTGAGGACGAAAATAATGCGAAAAAATACGCACGAGAAGAAAAGAATACCACTTCGATCAATTATATCTCTTATTGCGCAGAACTTATATAATATTAAAAACACAAGTGTTTGAGCATAAACCAAGCTAAAAAGTCATTTAAACCAATCATACTGCAAATAGATATTCACTTGTGCAAATCAAAATGTTTTAAAAATGTCTTAAAAATTTTCAGCTGTTAAACATATAGCAATTAAGTAAAAATTGTTAACTTTCTGAACTGGTTGGGATTTGTTAGGGCAGAAACAATCCTGTTTGAACTCCTACTTCATTTGCATATCGATTTGACCGGCCCCTCAATAAAAAATGGTCAAATGCCTAATTTGTTGATCGACATCTTTATAAAAATACATGAAAAAGCAGTAAGATTCGCAACCTCAGTCAACAACTGACTTGAAATTACATAATGCAAAAAAGAAACATTTCAGTCACTTCTGTTATTAAATCAAATTGCTATTCTTTTTCCAAAATGCTTTGCACTGCTGGAGTGTTGCAATCACTATTTGTAGGATGTTTATTATGTGACAGTGACGGATGGACAACAACGCAGTTTTAAATTAAAGGACTGATGATGTTTGAATGGGGAATGAACATGTCGTTTTCATAAGTTGCAGTAATGTGGAGTAATTTCGATAGAAAACACAAAAGTCCAGGCAGAAATTAAGTTGACGCTTAACAACACAACCCAAGGCCTATAATGCGATCGTTGCTTGAAGGGATATAAATATCCGCCAGTACAATGAATATATATCACATGATATTTCTTTCAAAACAAAAACCAACAACTTCTTAAGAGAAGAAAAAGTATATAAGTAAGAGTGCGGAAAAGGCATAACTTTAGGAAGGGAAGTAGCTATTAACGATAATCATCTGATCTCATCCATTATCCAATAATCAATCAACTTCGTCTCATTGTAAGCAAAATTGCATACAACTTGATAATGCAATGAAAATGATAGTGGATGAGATCAGATCAGATGAGATGGGATGCGGATGTATGCGCAGACTGCATCAAAAGGACAGGACAAATCCGCTCATATCAAGTAAGCATATATTACGGGCATTTGCACGTCACTATGGATCTTCGATAAGTTAGTTGCTTGTCACCTTGATCTCGTCTCATTATCGCAGACTGTAGTTAGATTGAGAATGGCGGGAATGTGTCAAGTGTATGTACTGATCAGTAGAAATCGATCACCTGGACAAGATCAATCGAGTCTTCTATTCAGCTACACTTATTTCAGTTTCTCTTCTCCTAATCCTTTTCTCCTATTAATTTTTCGCAGTTAATTCCATATAAACGAATATTATATATAGATGACAAGGAAAATTATATAGTAGTTACTAAATGCATTGCAGTAAAAACCAACAATTTTTTCTTCGTATCCAGATTAATATTTGCTTATGTTTTTTGTGTGTCGCACAAAATGATCATCTTATATTTTTTGAATATTTATGTTAATTCAATTCCATTCATTATTTCATTTCATTTTTTTTTCTCCATTTTTTAAAATTTTATTTAACTCATTCAGTTTTAGTTACTTGTCTAATATCATTTAATGACTTTTGCAGATTTGATAAGTCATAAAAATAAGTAAAATTGTCCGGGAGTATGTTTTCAAAGCGATTTTAAGTTGGAAGTCCAAGATTATGAATGTGAAGGTGCGTTTCATTGCAGTTAACTATGATCGAACAGCAACAGGACGCAACGTGGAAGAGAATTCAACTGAATACTTTCACTCGATGGGTTAGGCAGAAATTAGAACAAGTGGATGTAACGGTGTCTGATTTGGTATGCTTTAAGAATGCATGAATTGTTTTGTAGTATTTCATCGTGTGCTTTACTTCTATTCATCCTCTTGCAATATTTGCCATAAAATATTCTTCAGGAAACCGATTTTGAAGAGGGTTTGAAATTAATACGTTTGGTTGAAGTACTTTCTGGGAAGTCGTTTGGTCGACATAATAAAAAGGTCATATTTCGTCATCAGAAACTTGAAAATATCTCGCTTGCGCTGCAATTTTTGGAGAACGAAGAACACATAAAACTTGTTAATATCGGTATGTCCTTTGTTTTATCTTTATTTTGGACTTAATTATTTTGCAGGTAAAAATATACCCTAAATCGTCTTGAGGAAATGAGGTCTCATGATTTGCTCATTTTTAGATAGTTCTGCAATAGCAGACCGCAATCTGAAACTGATTTTGGGTCTCGTATGGACGCTTATTTTACATTATTCCATTTCAAAACAAGTTTGGGACCATCCAAGTGGTCAATTAGGAAATGGTGAAATGTCAGCGAAAGAAAAACTCTTGACATGGCTCAGAGCAAAGTTACCAGTCGAACTTTCTGTAACCAATTTCACCTTTGATTGGAACGATGGGATTCTCCTTGGTGCTTTGGTATGATTTTATAATGCAGTAGCCTTTTTTCTCTACATGATTTAATGTGGAATTTTTTTCAGGTTGATTCTTGTGCTCCAGATTTGGAAGTTGATTGGCGAAAATGGTTACCATCGCAGGCTTTGCAGTCAACTCTTACTGCAATGAGGCTTGCTAGCGATTATCTTGGTGTTACTGCAGTATGTTACATTCTTGAGTTACATGAACTGTCTGAAAACAAATGTGTAACTGTAGTTTGATATATATTACATATCTGATTTTTATTTTCTTGAAGTATGATCATTCTTTTCTCAATTTTTCAGCTTATTGAACCAGAGGAATTGATCAGTCCGGCTGTTGATGAGAAAAGTGTTATGACTTATCTTTCGCAGTTCCCTGGTGCGAAGTATACTCCATTACTTGGTCGACTTCATGATGTTGTGTTGAGACCAGTAGTAGGAGTCAGCACGATATTTAAACTCCAAACTCGTGATGCAATGATAGTTCCGGAAATCATTATCAAAGAGCCGAATGGATCTTCAATTCGTTGTATTCAACGTCAGCTTTCAGAAACTGTTTATGAATTCGGATATCAACCAGAAACACCAGGCGAACATGAGGTTATCTTAATATTTGTCCAACTTACGTATAAACTATAGATTCGTCATGTTATCTTGATGCACTTAAAATATATAAATTGGTTGTTACAGATTATGGCAACAGTTCGTGACATTGCATCTGGTGACTCAGCTAAACTGGCAAGGACCAAAGTTGTAGCAGTTGAAGGAACGGATATCTCTTCGATTTTGGTGGATGGTCTCAATAATGGTTAGCAATTACAAGGGTCTGAAGGATATTTAGTAATTTTAATCTTCTCGACTGTCTTTTGTTTCATATATATGCAATTTCTCAACAGCGTTTAAAAATACTTGTATTTGCTTAATAACTCAGAAACTGTAACAGTTGGACAGAGGAAAGATATTGTTATTGATATTGGAAACTTGATACCTATGAAGAATGGTTTGGAAGTTATTGTGGAGGAAATTGGAAAAGTTGATAGATCAAAGTATTTGCTATCTTTAGAATGTGAGCGTAATTCACACATTTACAGAGGTAATATTCTTTACAAATTCTTTCCTAATCTTTGGACTTGTTTCACCAGTTAATCATAAGAAATGTTATTGGTAAACAATTTTCAGGCTTCTGGACAGCCGAAAGATCAGGGAAAACCAAAATATGTGTTCTTTTTGATGAAAATGTAGTTTGTGAATATCTAATTAGTGCTCGACACAGCGAGGACATAACTAAATGCCGAGCCCTTGGTGAAGGACTTGAACGTGCTG